TGAGACACATTGAAAAATAACATATTTACAATTATTATTATATGATAAAATAAAGGTTGATTTACTTTATAATATTATATATAACACAAAATCAGCTTAATGGACATTTCCTAATTAGTGGACTTGATAAAGTCATCAATAGAATAATTTATTTCATGGTAATGAATCATTTATATTGTGTTCGAAATATATACAAGTAATTAAGAACATCACTATGGAGCAAAATGAAGAAAATTGTATATCTAATGCAACTAATACTACTAGAACAGAAATTTCACCCAAATCTAAACAAAAGAAAAAGTCTCTTTGCCATATGCTTATGAACAAAAAAACCAAAGTTGGCTGTTTGGAGACATCTTGTAAAGACAGTAATTCAAAGAAGAATTCTAAAACAGAAAATTCACAACATGGATCTCATACTAGTACAAAACTGTCATTGTGCTGTGCAATAACAGAACGAAGCAGAACACCGCCACAAAGTTTAACTGTTAGTAGATTATCTCCAACTACATTAAGTCGTACATCTGTGAAATCTGAAGTAGTTTCTGTTAATGGAAATTGCCAAACTGATGTATTAGTAGACCAAGAATATGTATATACACCAAATAGTACACATAGCATTCAAGAAAATACGTTGGATAAGAATATTTTTGTTGGAAAAGAACAACAGCAGCAGCAAAGTACTTTTGTTGAAGGTAAGAAAGGAAATTTATATTCAATAATGACATACTATAATTTATTTAGAGCATAAATGCAAGCTTCAATATTATTTATTACAAAATTTTCTTATCTTTTATGTAAATATAATATATATATTGTGTAATATATATATTATTGAATTGAATTCATTTAAGCACTCAAGTTCCTTTCTATACTTACATCTTTTTCTGTCAACTGCTTAATCTGATTAAATCATATGCTGACCTTGTATATCCCCACCTTGTCTTACTCCATTGCTGTAGAAGAAGAATTGGTTTTATTGCTCTTATACAAGGAGATGTGTAGGTTTTACTGAGAATCAGTTGACATTTAATTTTTGACGTTAGAACATGTTGAAAGCAGAATTTAAATAACATTTCCAAAAAATGGCAGATGCACATGCTAAAGGCAAAACACCTTCTTTCCTTGCTAAATTGTATAGAAAATTTAAAAAAGATGGAAGTAGAAAATTAGAAGAAGGAGAAATACAAAATTCAAAAATCAAAGAAACTTCAAAGGAATTCATTGATAATTTAAATGTTGAAGCTCATAGTGATATATATGAAAATAAAAATGTGTTAGTGCTGCAACCAGATATTAACAATAAATTAAATGTTAGTATTGCTGGAAGCAGTACAAATTATTATGACAATACAAGAACTGTGTTTACTGTACCTTCAAATTCAAAACAAATAAGTAAAACATATACTGATAACATACCTACGCATAACAAAAGTGTAACTGATATGGATATGTACACAGGGAAAAAGAAATTTATTTCTAGTTCAGATAGGAATTTAGATATAAAAATTGCTTTCCTAGCACAATCTTATGATGAAGTAAACCATGTATATCAATCGAATGAAAATAAGTCTACAAAATATTTAAATCCTTCTATTAGAATGCCAAATTTGGTACCAAATTCTAATACGGCAAGTTTTTTGCATGGAACACATAAATTATTAATAAGAGAAACAAAAACAGTAGGCCAAGAAAGTAGTGAAGATAGCGATTTTTCTGCAGATTTAACAGAAGATTTATTTGAAGAATCATCAGAAGATGAAAATGAACTTTTTATTGAGTATGAAAGAAGTGAAAAAAATTTAAAGGATGAATATTTTACAAAAGGAAAGTATATCACATATTTCTTTCTGGAAATGGAACGGCAGTTTTACAATCCTCATGAAGTTTACAGTATGGTTCAATATAGTGAATCTAATAATACTGAAAACCCAGGAAAAGAAGGTACAATAA